CTGTAATTTTCATCATAGGTACACGTCAACTATGACAGACAAATTGAGATTTTTTTTCCAGAAAATCACATTGTAGGATTTTTAATGAATTTATTTGCAAATTATGGTGGAAAATAAGTATTTGGTCAATAACAAAAGTTTCTCAATACTTTGTTATATACCCTTTGTTGGCAATGACACAGGTCAAACGTTTTCTGTAAGTCTTCACAAGGTTTTCACACACTGTTGCTGGTATTTTGGCCCATTCCTCCATGCAGATCTCCTCTAGAGCAGTGATGTTTTGGGGCTGTCGCTGGGCAACACAGACTTTCAACTCCCTCCAAAGATTTTCTATGGGGTTGAGATCTGGAGACTGGCTAGGCCACTCCAGGACCTTGAAATGCTTCTTACGAAGCCACTCCTTCGTTGCCCGGGCGGTGTGTTTGGGATCATTGTCATGCTGAACAACCCAGCCACGTTTCATCTTCAATGCCCTTGCTGATGGAAGGAGGTTTTCACTCAAAATCTCACGATACATGGCCCCATTCATTCTTTCCTTTACACGGATCAGTTGTCCTGGTCCCTTTGCAGAAAAACAGCCCCAAAGCATGATGTTTCCACCCCCATGCTTCACAGTAGGTATGGTGTTCTTTGGATGCAACTCAGCATTCTTTGTCCTCCAAACACGACGAGTTGAGTTTTTACCAAAAAGTTTTATTTTGGTTTCATCTGACCATATGACATTCTCCCAATCCTCTTCTGGATCATCCAAATGCACTCTAGCAAACTTCAGATGGGCCTGGACATGTACTGGCTTAAGCAGGGGGACACGTCTGGCACTGCAGGATTTGAGTCCCTGGCGGCGTAGTGTGTTACTGATGGTAGGCTTTGTTACTTTGGTCCCAGCTCTCTGCAGGTCATTCACTAGGTCCCCCCGTGTGGTTCTGGGATTTTTGCTCACCGTTCTTGTGATCATTTTGACCCCACGGGGTGAGATCTTGCTTGGAGCCCCAGATCGAGGGAGATTATCAGTGGTCTTGTATGTCTTCCATTTCCTAATAATTGCTCCCACAGTTGATTTCTTCAAACCAAGCTGCTTACCTATTGCAGATTCAGTCTTCCCAGCCTGGTGCAGGTCTACAATTTTGTTTCTGGTGTCCTTTGACAGCTCTTTGGTCTTGGCCATAGTGGAGTTTGGAGTGTGACTGTTTGAGGTTGTGGACAGGTGTCTTTTATACTGATAACAAGTTCAAACAGGTGCCATTAATACAGGTAACGAGTAGAGGACAGAGGAGCCTCTTAAAGAAGAAGTTACAGGTCTGTGAGAGCCAGAAATCTTGCTTGTTTGTAGGTGACCAAATACTTATTTTCCACCATAATTTGCAAATAAATTCATAAAAAATCCTACAATGTGATTTTCTGGATTTTTTTTCCTCAATTTGTCTGTCATAGTTGACGTGTACCTATGATGAATATTACAGGCCTCTCTCATCTTTTTAAGTGGGAGAACTTGCACAATTGGTAGCTGACTAAATACTTTTTTCCCCCACTGTATATACTAGTCCTACCCTATATACTGTGGTCCTCTGTAGCTCAGCTGGTAGAGCACGGCGCTTGTAACGCCAAGGTAGTGGGTTCGATCCCCGGGACCACCCATACACAAAAATGTATGCACGCACGACTGTAAGTCGCTTTGGATAAAAGCGTCTGCTAAATGGCATATTATTATTATTATTATTATTTATTATTATTACTCAGTGGACAACTACAGTGGTCATGTCTCAGTGAGCCTTCCTTCCTTCCACTAGACTGGTAGAGGGTCCGGGCCCCCAGTAATGCTCTGTTCCTGTGTGAGCACAGGGGGGCCATCCAGACCTTCAGACCCTAAGTCTCTCTCTCTCTCTTTCTCTCTTTCTCTCTCTCTCTCTCTCTCTCTCTCTCTTCTCTCTCTCTCTCTCTCTCTCTCTCTCTCTCTCTCTCTCTCTCTCTCTCTCTCTCTCTCTCTCTCTCTCTCTCTCTCTCTCTCTCTCTCTCTCTCTCTCTCTCTCTCTCTCTCTCTCTCTCTCTCTCCCCCCCTCCCCAATAGAAATGTTACTCACGTAGCTTGGGGCAAAACCACCCAATCAGAGCCTCTGCTGCCAAACCAAACAGACCAATGATGGAGTGCGTGTGCAGCGGCATACCAACTGGCCAATTTACACACACATCAGCCAGAAGCTCCACCCACACAAATATACAAACTTCAGAGCTAAAATATATTACCCAAAGGGAGGCCAACATCAGTGTAGAGAGAGAGAGAGAGAGAGAGAGAGAGAGAGAGAGAGAGAGAGAGAGAGAGAGAGAGAGAGAGATGGGTTTGGGGCTTTGATGGAGAACCCAGGTTGTGTTGGCTTATACCAGAGCCCTCCATGGTCTCAGCTCTACACCATGTATTGCCTCTACTCCCAGACCTCTGCTCCAGACCTCTGTTCCAGCTCTGTCCACTGGGGTCTGCTTCAGGTCTATGTAATGGTAGTAGCAGGGTTATACGAGGTCACACATACTGTATTAACAGTCATTATGTTAATTCTTAGTGAAAAAACATTCATAGTTTAAAACAGTCATAGTGTAGAGAGGGAAAACATAAGGGTGGTCAATCCAAGCTCTCGTTCAGTCAGTCAGTCAGTCAGTCTTCCCACCAGTTCTCAGTGTTCTGTTCTGTAGGGAAATGTATTTCTATAAATAGTTCCCACCCAGAGCTAGGACGTGTTCTCCTCAAGGCCAACATGGCTTCTTCTGGCTCCTTCTACAGGGACCAACCACAGATTGAGAACCAGAGTGGGCTAGGACAGCACAGAACACAGACAGAGGATGCGTCCCAAATGGCAACCTATTTTCTGTTTATAGTGCATTACACTATGTAGGGAATAGGGTGCCATTTGGGAAGCAGACAGAGCATCCAAACCCTTCAGGCACATTAGACTGGAAGTGTACAGCAGAAATGTACCATCTCCTCTTCTCTCTCCCATGACTATCCAGCCAGAGAGAGAGATTGTGCGACAGTGTTGGCTGGAAAGAAAGCTCCATACAGCAGGAATCTGATGGGTGAACTGAACTCAAACCGCATAGTGCCTCAGTTATCTTTGGATCCTCCTTCAGCTTGTTTAACTGAACGCCAAAAGTGAATCTCTCCCCAAACTCTTTCTCTCCCTCTTCTCCCTCTCTCTCTCTCTCTCGCTTTCCCTCTCTCCTCCCTCTGGCCTGTCTCCTCACTCTGGCCTCTCTCCTTCCTCTGGCCTGTCTCCTCACTCTGGCCTCTCTCCTCCCTCTGGCCACTCTCCTCCCTCTGGCCTCTCTCCTCCTTCTGGCCTGTCTCCTCACTCTGGCCTCTCTCCTCCCTCTGGCCTCTCTCCTCACTCTGGCCTCTCTCCTCCCTCTGGCCTGTCTCCTCACTCCGCAAACTCTCTCATCACCTGTCCCTTTTCTTCTCTCCCTCCTCGCTGTCTCTCCCTCTTGCTTAACACCTCCCTCTCTCCAACCCCCAGATATCTCCCACCAGGCTCTACTCTACTCTTCTCTCACACTGAGTGGAGACAGAACTCTGCTGGCTCCCGACCATCATCTAACAACTCTCCTGCCTTTGAACTTCTAATCCAATAAAAAGGAAACGTTTGCACAACCCAGCAGCACCACAGTGGGCAGAGCAGAGACCACGCGGGAGAGGAGAGAAGCCTGTACAATACAAAACAGACTCAGAGGATCACAGTACCAGGTTATGTCCCAAATGGCACCATATCCCCTATATAGTGCACTACTTTTGAAGAGGACACAAAGGGCTCTGGTCAAAAGTAGTTCACAATGTAGGGAATAGGATACCATTTGGGATGCACAGAGAGTATCAGAGTACATCAGAGGTCACTGTAGAGGGATCAGGAGATGGTGATATCAGATACCTGTTAATATTACATGGGAAAGTGTGGGAACTCTCCTAGCCTGGTTACCAGGTCTGTATGTAGTTATTTTCTAGCCTGGTTACCAGGTCTGGATGTAGTTCTCTTCTAGCCTGGTTACCAGGTATGTGTGTAGTTCTCTTCTAGCCTGGTTACCAGGTCTGGATGTAGTTCTCTTCTAGCCTGGTTACCAGGTCTGTATGTAGTTATTTTCTAGCCTGGTTACCAGATTTGGATGTAGTTCTCTTCTAGCCTAGTTACCAGGTCTGATGGAGCTCTCTTCTAGCCTGGTTACCAGGTCTGGATGTAGTTCTCTTCTAGCCTGGTTACCAGGTCTCTGTGTAGTTATTTTCTAGCCTGGTTACCAGGTCTGATGGAGTTCTCTTCTAGCCTGGTTACCAGGTCTGTATGTAATGATTTATCCAACACCTGTGACTGACTCTCATTGTCAATTAAATTCAAGAACTGTTGGCTGAAGCACACACATACTTAGCTATTGTTTACAAGCATTTGAACAAGACAGCAGCTGATTGGCTAGTGTCGACAGGTTGGTTTGTATTGGGTCAGAGTTCAAACACCCTGTGTAGCAGAGGTTAAAGTTCAGAGGTGAAATCATCAGCTTCACAGACACCTGACTGTGTCCCAAATGGCATACCTATACCCTATTTAGTGCGTTGCTTTTGATCAGGGCCCACTATATAAGAAATAAAGTGCAATTTGGGACGTAGCCCTGGGCCTTATTCCATTAGCTGGAGGAGAGTGTAACTGTTACGTTACTCAATGATGGAAACCATGGATTCAAGATGGAAATGTATAACACAACACACATACATCCCTGCCAAGACTTGAACTGAGCTGCACTGTTGGTTAACGTAAGTACAGTATGTGTTCACCGCTGTGACTGTGGGTGTCTCCCAAATGGCACCCTATTCCCTATATAGTGCACTACTTTTGACCAGAGCCCTATGGGGGAATAAGGAATAGGGTGCCATTTGGGGCACATACTGTATAAAGGGAAGGAACGGTCTGGCTGTGATTATAATTATGACAACACAACACCAGATACCAGATTTAAATACTCAACATTACGACATGGCAGGCGCATGGTGAGCGGATATCAATCTTAATCACAGGGGTTTTATTAGTCTTAGCACAATGTGAGTGATTTACACCTTCACCTCATCTTGTTCTCTCCCTCTTCTGCTTCCTCTCTCTCTCTCTCTCTCTCTCTCTCTCTCTCTCTCTCTCTCTCTCTCTCTCTCTCTCTCTTCATCTCTTTCACCCTCTCTCTCTCTCTCGCTCCCTCCATCTCTATTTCTCTATCTCTCTTACTATGTATGATTTACTGCAACTCCTTCCATCAGGACTTTATAAATACTTTTTTATGAACGCCAGAGACTTTATTTGATTGGGTTAATCTTCCTCGTCACTCTGGGTTGTCTGTCTGTCTGTGGTTTGGCTAATTATTCTGGCTGCGTGCCAAATGGCACCCTATTCCAGTATTCTCTATAGTACACTACTGTGCCATTTAGGACAAAGACATTGTGTCTCCATCAGAATGAGGCTTCATTATAAACCAAACCTGTCCGGCTGAGTGGAGATGTGATATACTGTCATCTTCTTGGCTGCATCTGAAATGGAATCCTATTTTCTATATAGTGCACTACTTTTGACCAGGGCTCATAGGGTACTTTGTAGGGAATGGGGTGCCATTTAGGACACACATCTCCTGGATAGGCAGACCTAGTCCTCAACCTCAGCTCCAGGCTTCCAGCTCCATGTCACTGATATGCTGTTATTAACCTAGAATGAGAGAAGACTCCAATTAACCTAGAATTGGAGAAGACTCCAACACCATCATTAAGTTTGCCGACGACACAACAGTGGTAGGCCTGATCACCGACAACGATGAGACAGCCTATAGGGAGGAGGTCAGAGACCTGGCCGTGTGGTGCCAGGATAACAACCTCTCCCTCAACGTGATGAAGACAAAGGAGATGATTGTGGACTACAGGAAAAAAAAGAGGACTGAGCACGCCCCCATTCTCATTGACGGGGCTGTAGTGGAACAGGTTGAGAGCTTCAAGTTCCTTGGTGTCCACATCACCAACAAACTATCATGGTCCAAACACACCAAGACAGTCGTGAAGAGGGCACGACAAAGCCTATTCCCCCTCAGAAGACTGAAAAGATTTGGCATGGGTCCTCAGATCCTCAAAAAGTTATACAGCTGCACCATCGAGAGCATCCTGACTGGTTGCATCACCGCCTGGTATGGCAACTCCTCGGCCTCCGACCGCAAGGCACTACAGAGGGTAGTGTGTACGGCCCAGTACATCACTGGGGCCAAGCTTCCTGCCATCCAGGACCTCTATACCAGGCGGTGTCAGAGGAAGGCCCTAAAAATTGTCAAAGACTCCAGCCACCCTAGTCATAGACTGTTCTCTCTGCTACCGCACGGCAAGCAGTACCAGAGCGCCAAATCTAGGTCCAAAAGGCTTCTTAACAGCTTCTACCCCCAAGCCATAAGACTCCTGAACAGCTAATCATGGCTACCCGGACTATTTGCATGCAGGGTTATTATAGTCAAACATAGGATATCCAATGGATATGTTTGTCAATGTGTGTTTCCCTGAAATCAAATGTGGAGAGATTGTAGATAACAGTTGGATCAGTTCATCCATCTCTATCATGTATAACAGGCATCTGGCTGGTGAGAGCATGCTAAACTGGAGATGTTCACACATGCCTCCTATTCCTCCTGATATCTGTCTTCACAGCATACAGTCATGGTCAAAGGTTTTGAGAATGACACAAATATACATTTTCACAAAGTCTACTGCCTCAGTTTTTATGATGGCAATTTGCATATACTCCAGAATGTTATGAAGAGTGATCAGATGAATTGCAATTAATTGCAAAGTCCCTCTTTGCCAAAAAAAACATTTCAACTGCATTTCAGCCCTGCCACAAAAGGACCAGCTGACATCATGTCAGTGATTCTCTCGTTAACACAGGAGAGAGTGTTGACGAGGACAAGGCTGGAGATCACTCTGTCATGCTGATTGAGTTAGAATAACAGACTGGAAGCTTTAAAAGGAGGGTGGTGCTTGAAATCATTGTTATATCTGTTGACCATGGTTACCTGCAAGGAAACACATGCCGCCATCATTGCTTTGCACAAAAAGGGCTTCACAGGCAAGGATATTGCTGCTAGTAAGATTGCACCTAAATCAACCATTTATCGGATCATCAAGAACTTCAAGGAGAGAGGTTCAATTGTTGTGAAGAAGGCTTCAGGGCACCCAAGAAAGTCCAGCAAGCGCCAGGACCGTCTCCTAAAGTTGATTCAGCTGCGAGATCGGGGCACCACCAGTGCAGAGCTTGCTCAGGAATGGCAGCAGGCAGGTGTGAGTGCATCTGCACGCACAGTGAGGCAAAGACTTTTGGAGGATGGCCTGGTGTCAAGAAGGGCAGCAAGGAAGCCACTTCTCTCCAGGAAAAAGATCAGGGACAGACTGATATTCTGCAAAAGGTACAGGGATTGGACTGCTGAGGACTTGGGTAAAGTCATTTTCTCTGATGAATCCCCTTTCTGATTGTTTGGGGCATCCGGAAAAAAGCTTGTCCGGAGAAGACAAGGTGAGCGCTACCATCAGTCCTGTGTCATGCCAACAGTAAAGCATCCTGAGACCATTCATGTGTGGGGTTGCTTCTCAGCCAAGGGAGTGGGCTCACTCACAATTTTGCCTAAGAACACAGCCATGAATAAAGAATGGTACCAACACATCCTCCGAGAGCAACTTCTCCCAACCATCCAAGAACAGTTTGGTGACGACCAATGCCTTTTCCAGCATGATGGAGCACCTTGCCATAAGGCAAAAGTGATAACTAAGTGGCTCGGGGAACAAAACATCAACATTTTGGGTCCATGGCCAGGAAACTCCCCAGACCTTAATCCCATTGAGAATTTGTGGTCAATCCTCAAGAGGCGGGTGGACAAACAAAAACCCACAAATTCTGACAAACTCCAAGCATTGATTATGCAAGAATGGGCTGCCATCAGTCAGGATGTGTCCCAGAAGTTAATTGACAACATGCCAGGGCGGATTGCAGAGGTCTTGAAAAAGAAGGGTCAACACTGCAAATATTGACTCTTTGCATAAATTTAATGTAATTGTCAATAAAAGCCTTTGACACTTATGGAATGCTTGTAATTATACTTCAGTATACCATAGTAACATCTGACAAAAATATCTAAAAACACTGAAGCAGCAAACTTTGTGAAGACCAATACTTGTGTCATTCTCAAAACTTTTGACCACGACTGTACAACAGCCTCAAAGCTCTCAATCCTTGGACTTTACAGGACTTTACTATCTCTCCATCCTCACTCTCTCTCTCTCTCTCTCTCTCGCTCTCTCTCTCTCGTTCTCTTTCTAGCCTTGACCAGATTCGTATTCAGATGTTGATCCAATCACCTCTGAGGCAGAGCTGTGGTTGTGTGCGTGTGAGCTGTGGTTGGTGCCGTGCACTTCTTGTCTCTCGGCAGTCATGTAGAATGCTAATTCATTAGTTCAACATTCACAACAGGCCTGCTCTCTCTCTCTCTCTCTCTCTCTCGCTCTCCTCTCTCTCTCCTCTTTCTCTCTCTGTCTCTGTCTCTGTTGCTGTCTCTGTCTCTGTTGCTGTCTCTCTCTGTCTCTGTCTCTCTCTCTCTCTCTCTCTCTCTCTCTCTCTCTCTCTCTCTCTCTCTCTCTCTGTCTCTGTCTCTGTCTCTGTCTCTCTCTCTCTCTCTCTCTCTCTCTCTCTCTCTCTCTCTCTCTCTCTCTCTCTCTCTCTCTCTCTCTCTCTCTCTCTCTCTCTCTCTCTCTCTCTCTCTCTCTCTCTCTCTCCTATCACCCTATCCATCTCTCTACTTGAAGAGACATTCTTCTCCTTGCTCTGCTTTTCATATGTTATTCTTGGGGCCATGAGTTTTTCTCAACCACATGACCTAGCCAGGAATAACTCTAGGTCCTAGTAATACTGTTCCACCACTCCACTGTTCATCCAGGCTATGCAGCCACAGGCTAACATTTCTCGCTTCACAGTTTGTGTTAGGAGACCCTCACTGTTTCTGTGTCTGACACTTTTTTTAATGCTATGCTACAGGAGAGTGTTTTCCCTCCAGCTTCAGTACTGCTGCTGTACTGTAACAGTATTCATATGAGAGTAGCGAACTCTATAGCCTCTACCTCTGAATTCATAGTTCCATTCTTTCCCCTCCACTGTAAATCCCAGGTGCATTCTACCAGTTCATTTGTCAGCCGTCATATCATAAATATTTAATGTGAGTATTGTACAGGTGCCATTTTTTATGATGGTGGTATGGGCTAGGAAAATAAACATTCCTCCATGCCTGGTTGTGGCTGAAATGGAAAGTGACGTTTGGGTCTCCTCATATAGCTCTCTCTCTCTCTCTCTCTCTCGCTCTCTCACTCTCTCTCACACACACACAGACACACACACACAATAATCAAGCTGTCTCCTACAGTATGCCACGACCAGCTCTCAGTGTTTAACTTGTCCAGGTTCAGTCATGCTACTGTGGTGAGAACAAGAGCAGCAATGCAGTAGTTATTAATAACTTGCCCCCTGCCAGATAATATAATATTGAAGTAAAGCTACAGGCCTAGAGGGCTGCTGTGTTTGAACAGAGCAGCTCTCCTCTCCTCAACAAGCTCCCGGTCTCTGTGCCCTCCCGGGGTTTACCATCCTTCTCTTTGGTGTGTGTCTCTCTCTGCCAACATCACAGGCTCTCTCGCTGGCTCTCTCACCATCCTTTGGCTGTCGTTAGGCCAAACACACACACACACACAAAAACATATACTCCAGAATGCATGCACACATACACACACACAGCTCCGCAAGACCACCATGTGCTACAGGATACATACAGAACAGAGATCCTGTTTCAGTTGAGAATCATCATCACTTCTAATGAATGGTTTCCATCCTCGTACACTCACAGGAGCCAGGGCCAGGCCAGGACAGGGAAGTGTGTGCTTTTGATAAGCATGACTGGCTGTATTTTCCTTGGCCCAGACTCTCATAGCTCTCTCCTAGCTGCCCTCTTAGGCACAGAGCAGCCATACTGCAGTAGTAGTAGTAGTAGTAGACGTTGGAGACTCTATTTCATTTAATCCACTTCTCCTTTCCTTCCCAGAGAGATCCCCCCCTTTTTTTGAAGAGATGGAAGGAAAGAGAGAACTCTAATCAACTTGTGAGGCTTAACCCCATCTGTAAACTCTTTCTAGCTGCGATCCAGAGCCAACACTTGCAAACGATTACCCTGCCAGTACCCAGGAGGCTCTCTGATTGGCTTGTTTGGTTAGTGTAATCCAGGGAACTGCTACAGTCTCCTCTCCTCAGCTGGCTGGTGGCTGGCTGGGTGGGGAGTTGGGCTGAACTGAGTGGAGGCTGTCTGTTATGAACCCACCAGCCCCAGCTCTCAGCTCTCTCTGTACTGTAGATGTGAGGTGTATTAGAACCAGACGTTGAGGGGTAGAATGTTAGAGTTATAATGTGGTGTGGCAGGGAGGCAGTGAGGCGTGCTGTGGGGGGTACACTGCTGCCCCCAAGTCCACCCTCCCCATCCCCCCATTCCCCCTCCCTCCCTGTCACTGGGCTGTTCAGACAGACGCCATTCCACTCCTGGACCAGCCTGGCTGTCTCTACTGCTGGCATCTCTCCCGGCTAAACGCAGGCAGGGCTGGGGAAGTCATCCACTCCTCCTCTCTCCCTCTCTCCTCTCCCTCCTCTCCTCTCTCCTTCCCCCCAGTGCCTCGCTCTACCAGAGGAGACGGTTTGGCTTGTGCTCTAACTCAAATAAACAACACAGATGAGAATTAAAGACTCACTCCAACAGCACCTGGTGCCCTGTACTGTCCTGTACAGTACTGTACTGTACTGTTCATATCCTGTCCTGTACTTTACTGTCCTGTACTGTCCTGTAATGTCCTGTACTGTCCTGTACTGTTACTGACCTGTCCTGTACTGTCCTGTATGGTACTGTCCTGTACTGTCCTATACTGTCCTGTACTGTCCTGTATGGTACTGTCCTGTCCTGTACTGTCCTGTACTGTTACTGACCTGTCCTGTACTGTCCTGTATGGTACTGTCCTGTACTGTCCTGTACAGTCCTGTCCTATACTGTCCTGTACTGTCCTGTCTTGTCCTGTACTGTCCTGTACTGTCCTGTACTGTTACTGACCTGTCCTGTACTGTCCTGTATGGTACTGTCCTGTACTGTCCTGTACAGTCCTGCACTGTCCTGTACTGTCCTGTACTGTTACTGACCTGTCCTGTATGGTACTGTCCTGTACTGTCCTGTACTGTCCTGTCCTGTACTGTCCTGTAATGTCCTGTACTGTGTGGGTTCTCGTTCATACTAGTGGTACTATCCAAAATGATCCTACAGGGTACATACTGAAATACATTGGTCTAACTAGAAATTGTGTGCTTGCTTCAGCTGTCCAAAAGTAATTTATGGTAGTGGAATAATTGTCTTTTTTAAAGTCAACATCCAATGTCGTCCAAGAGTTGCTGAATATTTCCTTATCTTGTCTAGCTCCTGAGATGTATTCTTGTGTCTTCCTCTCTGTAGGTGTAACAGTGAAAGGTCCCCTTAAGACAAACTGTCTAACCCATACATCCTCTAAGACAAACTGTCTAACCCATACTCTAAGACAAACTGTCTAATCCATACATCCTCTAAGACAAACTGTCTAATCCATACATCCTCTAAGACAAACTGTCTAACCCATACATCCTCTAAGACAAACTGTCTAACCCATACATCCTCTAAGACAAACTGTCTAATCCATACATCCTCTAAGACAAACTGTCTAACCCATACATCCTCTAAGACAAACTGTCTAACCCATACATCCTCTAAGACAAACTGTCTAATCCATACATCCTCTAAGACAAACTGTCTAACCCATACATCATCTAAGACAAACTGTCTAATCCATACATCCTCTAAGACAAACTGTCTAATCCATACATCCTCTAAGACAAACTGTCTAACCCATACATCCTCTAAAACAAACTGTCTAACCCATACATCCTCTAAGACAAACTGTCTAATCCATACATCCTCTAAGACAAACTGTCTAATCCATACATCCTCTAAGACAAACTGTCTAATCCATACATCAAATCAAATCAAATCAAATTTTATTGGTCACATGCGCCGAATACAACAGGTGCAGACATTACAGTGAAATGCTTACTTACAGCCCTTAACCAACAGTGCATTTATTTTAAACAAAAAAGTAAGAATAAAACAACAACAAAAAAGTGTTGAGAAAAAAAAGAGCAGAAGTAAAAAATAAAGTGACAGTAGGGAGGCTATATATACAATAGAATAAAGTGACAGTAGGGAGGCTATATATACAGGGGGGTACCGTTGCATAGTCAATGTGCGGGGGCACCGGCTAGTTGAGGTAATATGTACATGTGGGTAGAGTTAAAGTGACTATGCATAAATACTTAACAGAGTAGCAGCAGCGTAAAAAGGATGGGGTGGGGGGGGCAGTGCAAATA